GGCATTTTTTCAATTGGGCCCCCCGAAAAGGGGGGGGGCTTTGTTTTTTTTTTTTTTTTTTTTTTTTTGCAGGTTATCTGTCTCATTCTAAACTGTCATGACAGAGTGACACAGTTTTAACAAATATATATATAAAAAACATTATTATAAATATTACATACAAGGTTGGGATACTCCCTGACCTTTCCCTTGGTCTTCATACTTCTAGCTAACTGAGGAGATTCAGTGGTGGACAACTAACTAAAATGTTAGTTGCATTAACCTTACAGCATTAATAATAAATGTTAACGCCGCAAACAGTAAAGAACTAGAACAACGGGGTATTTAGCAGAAGCTAAGGTGCTAACTTAATTTCAAATTACATCTGCCCTTAAAAGACCGCAACCCTGGAGTGCTAATTTAATTTTAATGTCATTTACATGATCTATAATGTTCTTAGATATTGTATTTATGTTTACATTTTGTTTTCTGCTGTCTTGTATTGTTGCTGTATGTTTCTTGTTTGACAAAAACGTATGTGAAGAGAGGAAACGGAATAGCTCCGTCGGAACCTCTTTCAAAATAGAAGCACTACTATAAGTGGTATCAAATTTTATTCAACTGAAAGTTTACAAAGCAGCCAAGAAAATTAGGGCTTTAGAATTCATGTGGAAATATTTGTTTAGGGGAAGCTAAATGTGAAGCTAAATGTTTTCAAAATCAGCAAAAGTGCTAAACAAAAAACTTGTCATTTGCACAAAGTTGGTTACGTGGAAATGTGGAAGGGGAAAAGAGGGAATGATGAAAATCCAAAAACTTAAATAAAAGTACTTAGAATGTACTAGAAGTGGTAAAAAGTTTTAATATTAATTGTTGTTCCTCAGCTGAATAATGAAAACAGTCTCCCACAGTGTCTGGAGATGTGGGTGTAGAGGTATAACAGACTAAGATGTTCTAACCGAAAAACCTTTGGTAAAACATTTCCTACGAAATGTCTTGTATGCAAATCTCATCACAACATGTCCTCTACAGGAAAGCACTCCCACATTTCAGAAAGTCGGCTCTTTTCTCTTAACTTCACAACATGTAATAAATCCTTTTCCTTTCAGAAGAGCAAAACACTGAGAGGAGACGAGAAGTTAAAGGTCTGCTTTTTATCCCTCAAGTTATTTCCTCCCACCTGCAGCGAAAGAGTGTTGGACGACTTTTTTTCTTCTTCTGAGTACAGATTTTACACACACACACCAACCGCAGATAAGATTAATAAGACAGAAAGTCATTTCTGAACTTCTGGAAGATCGCTAATGAGAATTGTTTTGATAACAAAAAGGTGTTAGATGTCTTTTCTCCGTTTGAATCTACTTCTGAACTTCAAACGTCCCCTAACGCAGTAGCGTTCTAACATTTTGGGCCAAAATGGGGAAGTCAGAATTTTTTAGTTTTCTAAAACTCAGAAAAAAAATTCCAGCATTTGATTTTACACTGCTCAACAATAAGCTAAGCATGCAGTAACTTAAATTAAATAATTAAATAACTCAGTTTTCATAGAAAATGAAAGCTTAAGTCACTGTAGATGCAAAACGTAAAGAGTTTTTCAAATTAATAAAAGAAAGAGTTTGCAGATTAATTCCTTTGGGTTCAAAAGAACTTGAACACAAAAAAAACAAAAAATAAAGAAAAAGATTCTGCATATTTTCAGGGTTTGTGTCGGTGTCTCTTTAAAAATGCCTGCTGTATCAAGCGAGGTTTAATTAAATAATTAATAAAAGCAGATTTGTCCTCTCAGTCTGTTGATATTTACTACAAAATTTAAGAGAAAGGAGAAAACATGGTTGGTAAAAGTCAAATACTTCGTGTTGTGCTTAATATTTTCCATTGTAGAAAACTTTAATATATAAGCAATAACTTTGCTTTAATTAAAAATGAAAAGTCTCCCCTGCCTCTACCATTTGTTGTGGCAGGCCACACAGAATCATTAGTTCTGCTTGTGTTTCTCTGATAGAAAGTAATCCCTCTTTCAAAACTGACAACAATAAGTAATAAATCATCTTTTTTTTAGAAGAAGAAGAAGAATATAAACATGAGCGGAGATGAGAAACATTTAGCATCTTACCTGTCTGCGAATCAGCTCAGCGTCTTCTTCAAGTTTCTCAATTTATTTCCTCCCACCTGCTGCGAAACAACGTCAGAGAAGGGGTTTTTTTTCAGTATGAATCTCACTGAGAATCGCAGATAAACTGATAACACAGAAACTAACGTCTGAACTAGTGGCAGATCAGTACTGAGAAGTGCTGCCTCATGAACAAAAGGCGTGTTTTCTCAATTTAAGTCGATTCTTTCTGCATTTCAAATAACATCCTCTAATGGTAAGAAATCTATTTTCGAGAGAAGTGTTTTGCTCTTTGTCTCTTCCTGTGATGAGCAGGGATTTTCTAGAATAACACCTGCTGTGGATCTTACAGAGCCCCCAAGAGGGAATGGGGAAAAAAATGTCTTTTGCGTTCCCTCGCAAAAGGAAAATATTGCAGTTACAGAGAGTGGTACTCCGTAGTACCCTAGGGGGGTCCGTAGCACCTGAACACAGGAAGAAACAAGCTGTGAATGTGGTCAGTATGTGACATTCTTGATGTGAAATCTCAAATTACAAAACATGCATTAGATTTTGACACGACCCTGACCCCCTTCGCATCCTGCTTCGCACTTTTACCCGATTGCTGAGCAACAGTCAACAGTTTGAAACAATCCAACTGAACCTGGTTGCTCTCAAGCTTCTGCATCAGAATCACAGGAGCATTTGAAATGAGTCACAAACAGGACGAAAAGTAATGCATGTGTGGGTTCACGTAGGATTTGTGGTCTGCGGTTACTGCAGTCTAATGCAAAGCGACCAGGAAGCACACCAGAGCCCCCCTGCAAACGTCTCTGCACAACAACAGCAACAGGAGCAACAGCTGGAGACGATTCTCAGTCAGTGCTAATGCTGACATTTTTAAAAACTTTTCTTTTTAACCAGTCATAACGCAATCCCAAGAGAACATAAACGTCTTTGGCACAATATTTTTTATTCCCCGAACTAATAAATGGAACAATTAATGACTGCTTCTTTTTTTTATTATCAGTGCTATTATTCTAATTATTTCTGCAAAGCGTTGTGCGTGTTCTTTCATTTCCATGTGCAGGCGTTCTCACCTTCTCCGGTCACCTGTTTGTGCGGTTTAATAAAAGGTCAGAGTGTTTTTATAAAAACCAGAACATGTTCCATTATTTTTGACAGGTGCACATCCTGCTCAACAACACCTCCACCCCTGTAAGCAATTTTAATCTGATTAGACGGTGGGACTTTTTTAGAAGTCATATAGTTTACCGAAAAGAGGCAAAAAAAATTTAAAAAAGTGAAGGGTGTATTTTTTGTTTTGGTGTGTTATCAGTAACAAGAAAAGAAGAAGTAGATATTTTAGTAATATGTAATGGTTATTCTGGAAAGAAACTGCACTTTTCTCTTTTAGTCAGATTTTCTGATCAGGTTGGTGACCTACAGCTACCACCAATAACCTTTACCTTATCTAACGGCTATTTGCTTTTGTGCAAAAATATCCCAAGTCAAAATGATTCTTTATAATTTACTTTGCTTCTTTCAGACCTATTTTATTTTTCCAGTTTGGAACAGAAAGATTATTTGGAACACTGACGGTATATTGAACTAACCAGTTCATTTCCTTCCTACTCAGTTCTGCTTGATTCTCATCTCCCTTAACTTCTTTGTCTGGGATTTCTCCCTCTTGATTCTCATCTCCCTTAACTTCTTTGTCTGGGATTTCTCCCATTGACCTGGATTCCTCCAGTAGAATTTCTATCAGCAAACAGAAGGAGAAGTTGTGAACGATGACATCGATTTTCCGCGCCGTTTCAGAATCGTAGTCTGCCCGTATTTTTAGCAATGGTAGTGGAGGAAGTGAACGAAGTCGTTCAGTCCATGTTGGCCACTCTTACAAATATTGAATTAGCATGAGCATCTGCATCACAGCATCCAACTGGCACATTATATAAGTCACAGCCAAATGTTAGCGACTGGGTAAAGTTCAAAACTTCAACAGAGTCCATGCCACCAGGAAGCAAACGTTTATCAACTTCATGCGAGAGCCTTCGCATGAAGTGAAGCGTAGAACAAGGACCTGGTGTTTACCAGGCTAAAAATGTCACTAACCCGTTTACATTACTAGACCATAACATAGTAGTCCACAGTTGAATAATGGGATTTCCTTTGGTTTATATTAGTGTCAGAATGCAGATAAATTATCAACCATTTACTGCTGAGGTAGAGTAAAAAGTAACCATCTAAGAAATTACTCAAGTAAGGGTATAAAAAGGATTTGGTAAAACAGGCAACTTAAAAAAAAAAGAAGTTAAATGGCATCATCAGATGGACCAAAATGTAAAGCTTTTTGGAAATTTAGGTATTTTAAAGACCAAAATGAAAATAATTCTTATAGGTAAGATGATTACAAAATAACAAAATCAGGCAAACGTGAACATTTTTTTTCCCAAGTCATTTTTTTAGTTAAAACAACCTTATTCTTCATTCTGTAAAGTTAGTCAACGTGGGCAGAGTATCCAGAAATGTTACTCTCAAGTAAGAGTAGCAAAACTTCATGATAAAATGACTTAAGTCAAAGAAAAAAGTACAGCATAGTAGAAATAAGAGTATTTCTGAAGTTGCTAAAGTAATGTTGCTACATAACTCTGCTGCTGAGACACTGAGTCTTATTAGAACTCAGGCCTGGATGGACGGACGGACAGATGGACGGACAGAGACGCACTATCTCCTGACTGAGATTGAAAATCTGCAAACATTTTCAACATTGTACCTTTCATGCTGAAAATGCCCAAACACCACACACCATACCCAAAGCGTCGCGTCCACATCAGTTATGCTTCTGCACATCAAGCTTTAAAGCCACAGAACGAGATTCAGAGCAGCCTAGTTTTGTACAATGATTCACATTTGGAAATTTGAGTGACTCACTTCAGCTAACCTTTAAACCCATGTACAAAACAGCAGCAACATGTTTGGAAACAACATTTTTAATAGTATAATCAGATTAAAACAGTCTTATCTCACTTGTTAGGGCTCTACTTAAACTGTGCCTATAGCTTTAAAAAAATCTACATTTATGTTCTGTTTCTGTCTTCCTCTGACATTTGGACTTCCCCTGATCAGGTCCAACAGAAAACTGAAAACGCAGACACTCTTTTTTTCACTCTGTTTTTATAGAGACCTAAGCAAGAAAACAACCACAAACTACAGAAAGTAGAGAAAAAACCCACTTCCTAACCTCTTTTTCTTCCCAGAAATCAACTTTTGTTTTCTGACAAGAAATAAACAAATAAGAAACCCATTTGGTCATGTCCTGATCTATAACTTTTTATTGACTGGTAACTTGTAATAAGACTGAAATCTAACAGAGAAAGTGCAGGGTTTTGTTTTTTTATTGTCAACTGAGGCATTTAAAGAAGGAATACTGTGCAAATCTCTCATCTGGCTGAACTATAGGTGGAGGCATGTCCTTTTATTTACTGATAAATTTCACTGTTTTTGTATTCTTGGAAAAGTAGATTCTATGAAGGTGATTGGTATTTTGCACTAAAGTTGTACAGTGTAAGAAGAAAGGTTGAGTGTTTGAGCACAAAATAGGCCAAGTGAGTGGCCTATTTTGGTGGTGTTGCAAAAAACAGTGAACCAGTTCACCTCTTATGAAACGCAGTGGCTCTCAAAAGTGAACATACCTCTGAAACTCCAGGTCTAAAGAACTAGAGAACATTATAAATCACTCCCAAACTCTCCTTCCCTTAATAACTGTACGGTTTAGCAGTAAAACAATGTAGAAGGCTACCCTTCTACATTAGGGTGTAGAAGAACACCCTAATGTTCTTCTTTTTTGAAGAACATTAGGGTGTTTTCACACCTGATAATTTGATTAAAGGGACTAAGCAGGACTGGTGTGAATGAACCCATTGGGGCGTATTCTCACCGCCAGGCTGTCACACCAGCCCTCGTTTGTGGAAGTGTGACTACGCAATCGAACTCTGGTCCTCCTAACACCGTAGGTCTCCGTCGGTTGAAGTGAACTCTGGTGGCGACGCAAGCAGACCAGAGACCGCTCCAAAAGGAGGAAGCAGACTAAGGCGCACAGCATTCTGGGTAACTACAACCAAAACAAATGTGAGAGCAGGTGAAATGGCTCGCAGTCTTTCAGCAAAGACAGAGGAGAAATCCTGCAACCGCTAAAATCTGACACCATTACATTTTTGTTCACATTTTGCGAAGAAGGAGGTTGCACTTTATGTCTTCTTCAGAGGCTTGCGTATCATTTTCAGCAGTGGTTCTCGGTGCAGCGCCACCACAGGCAAGAGGGGGAACAGGTTTCTCAGAGGGTTTAGTTCATTTGACAAAGTACTGTGCGAATGCGAACCATACCAGCTGAAAATGTAACAAATTTTGCTATTTTGGTCCCCAATCAAACTGAGCCTACCGGACTGTCCGGTGTGAAAACAGCCTTAGTTTTAGTTCCAGCCTTCAGTCTTCTGGGGTAAAAGCCTCACATTACTTACAGACAATCTGATAATACTAAAGTTAGGTCCAGTTGTCCTATAATTATCTTGGCATTTACATCGTTTAACTTTTGCTCTGGTCCACAGAGAGGTTACGATGGGTAATGTGACCACATTGAACAAGGTATCAGTCAGGAGAAGGGTATAAAATAAGTTCACAAGATTATATATACATTACGGAAGAGTTAATACAGTTATCCAATATTTATAGAAAATATAGAAACGATACAATTACTGAAACTGAACTTTTCCGGTGAGTTATCTCAATATTTTGGGATTTTATAAATAAAAACAATATCAGGATATTTGAAAATTATAACATTTTAGTTGTTTCTTTGGGAACAACATGATGCTGTTGGACAGGGAACGTATTAAACCTACTATTAAATCAGTTCATACACGTTGGTGTATATGACTACTTATTAATGAACTGTAATTAGTAAAAATTACAGTTCTTGAATTAGTAAAAAAAACATATATATTTTTTAGAGAACAGGGCACCAAAGCTGGATCCAGCCCAGAGCCCCGCATCATTGCAAATCCGGCTCTGGTCTCATCAAAAACCTGGCATTTCAACAAAGCTGAGTTCACTTTTAAATCAGTCACATTTTATCTAGTTTCCTCAGCCAGGACTTTACAAAGACTTTGTTACCTCTATTTCTGGTTGTACATGACAATTTATGGCTTTTTTTCATAACTGAGTGAAAGTGGGTGGATGGAAGCTGGCTCAACAGCAGGATGTGACATGTGGGAGTGAGCAATGTAAACCCCGGCAGCGGCGGCAGCAGCACCAGACAACGTGCCACAACTCAGTGGAAGAAAGGTGTGGGCTTGTTGCTGGATTTAAAACGATCTCTCACTAGTTCTCGTCCAATGAGAATTTGAATCCCCTAACTGTACCAGTAATAAAAAAACAACAACACCTGGTCGTGTCACCACCTTGAGCAGATGACCTTTGGATACTCTGAGACGTTTGGCTGTCTTATACCCACCTCCTCGTTTGTTAGCGTCATTTCTCTATCTTGTTGCACTTTCCACATGTTTCCTGCATTTACCACGCATTTCAAATAGACAAAAACTTTCCCTTTTCTCTTTTAATTTTTAATTTTACTATAAAAATACAGTCAAAGGGTAAGAATTAAATGTTTGTGAGCGTTTACCATGACTGAAATCTTTGTTTTAAAAACCTCACATGGTTTACCCCATGTGTGGCTTAAATGGAGATGTTTCATCAGCACATTAAAATACTTTTTTATTTAACAAACTTCAAGAGAGACACACAACAAAAGCTAAAGAAAAAGGCTTTCACGATTGCTTAAAGTTGTCAAGCTGTTATCACAATATGACAGCTTTATCTCACTTAGCCGAAAAAGACATCAATGAAACCCGCTTTGTTGTTTTCTCCGAACACACGATTTTATCGTCATCTGCTTCAGGATATTAAGAGTGAGGTGACATAACTTCTCGCCAGAATCATTCAAGACTGTAGTGAAAAAACGATGGCTTAAAATCAATACCTGTTCACCAAAATCAGTCAGGAAAGCAGCCTACCTTCGCAGCGCTGTTCAGTAGAGTTCTGAGCTTTTCTGATTACTTCGTACCTCCTGAACTCAAAGTGACTAGTCTGTAGTTTTCATGTTTCTCGTTTTCCCTCTCTAAAGTGACGACGGGGAAACGTACGTGAAGCTGACAACAAAGCTGTGGCTTGACTGCGGCGTGTGGTTACGTTGATAGTAACTGTGTGATCTGCAATACGAAACGTCAGGGTGAAAACCCCAAGTCTTTTTTTGCTCTTTTTTTTTCCGTTTCCTTTTTCACAGCACTTTATCTCTAAGCTGAAGGAAGGAGAACCTGCCTTTCTGGAAACTGCTGCGTTTTGCTTACCATGTGACAATTTACGCAGTTTTCTTTTTTCTTCTTCCCTCAAACCAAGAATTAGATGCTCTTAAAAGATAGTCATCAAACTCTCATGAGGACCTGTCTCCTGCTTTCTAGTATTACATTTTAAAGAACATTTTTTTAATTTTCTCCCCCATTTTGTCTTGAGTTAGATCAGTGTCATAATATAGTTTAACCCTTTATCAAATTTACATTAGCCACTGTGTTTATGTAAATACACATTAGTCTTCAAGATCATTCAGAGGTTTTTACACAATTTCAGAAGAAACTCTATAATTTTGTAATCAGACTAATCCATATTTCGCAGTCACCAGTCACTGCGTTTCCAATGCAAAAGCACGCAAAACGATGTCGATATCCCCCTGATGTTGACAAAACACCATTTTGAAATTGTGATGTTTCCATTACGTAAGAAATGCAATTCAAATGATGTGTGTTCAGTAGCTGTGTTTTCATTGACCATATAATTGCGCAATTGGACTTTTCGTAAATTAAAAAACCCCTTGGTTTTCAACGAAAGGTTTTGGCGCTAGCATGACCAGGCACGGAGCCCAAGGGGGGGCGGCCCGGGCTCGGATGGGTGCCCATGGGGGCCCGGGTCTGGAGGAATGGTTTCAAGTCACTTTAATGTGTGATTATAGAAGGAGAAAGTGCGCCCTTGCCTGTTCAGAAAGGTGTATTGTTGAGAAAATAAATTTAAAATAAGCTAGTTTTAAAACTTAACATGTCTTGATTCAAATACCCTAATTGTGGTTTTGAAATTAGTAATGTATTCTGGCCTATTGACCTTTAGGTTACCTGTAGTTACAGTAGATGGTTTGCTAGGATCGTTTGAACTGCCTTTTGTCTGTGTGGGAAACAATACAGTAGAAGTTGTAGCTTTTCACACTCATCTGTGAAAGGCCGTAAACACGGCAGGGGTTTCTAGCTTGATAGAGGGTCAGAGATAGCTCCTGGTTGGATGAGCAAAGATACGCCTTGTTTGAATAAATTAAATACAAGAGGATAAAACTTTCTACACAGAAGTAACAAATCAGATTTGCTCTTGCAACTCTCCAAAGATGTCTTTGCACGTCTTTGCTTTTCTTTCTTTCTTTCTTTTCCATTTATGTCAGGTAAATGAATGTATGTCTCCGTTGTTCTGCAGTTTCTGGTGTAAGTTTATTCATTGTCTTATATTGGATTAAACTCTGTAATTCTGTGACGTCAACACACATTGTTGTTTTCCTTGTGGCTACACGTGGCCTGCCGAGAGGACCTGGGATCCAAGAGGAAGAGGGAGCCAAACTTTTTCCAAAGTTAACTAATTTAGATATCTCTTCCTTAACAGTATGTAATGTTAAAGATACTTTCCCTCAATGGAATATATAGTAGTCAGTCCCAGTGATTCTTTCACTCACGGTTTAGCCAATGTGCTTCCTGGGTAAAAATCAAACGACAAACGCAGCCCCAGCCCGACGCTGACTTGTTCCAGCGTCGGGTCGGGCATGACGTGGGCTTATTGTTGGTGTCAAAATTGGTTTAATTTGCAAAACTGTAATGGAAACTTTTTTTTCCGCATCCCACAAATCACATGATCATCAATCGGTTGTTGACACTTGCGTAAACCCAGTGGCGCAACTACACATTATTCAGGTGGATGCGAAAACATAAATCGCCACCTCGTCCTAGTGCCAAAACCTTTTAGGGAGAAATGAGAGTTATTTTGTAATTGGCATGTTACCATTAAGTGAATTTAATTTTGAAACGT